ATATATCATTCCTTATCATTCTTGTAAGCAGATTCTCTAGTCTTAGAGAGAAAAAGAAAAAAAACCTAGTAAAATTATACTGGTCTGATCATTCCTAATTGCTGTTTCTGATGCACAGAACACATTAATACCAAGATATATACAAAAGGGATAGACAGCATTTTTTTTTAAAGGAGAAGAGAGGGCTAAAAAGAGATCTTGTGCTACTTCTGATGTAAATTACCTCTATAACCCTAAGCTGTAGTTTCTCCGTCTGTAAAAGACAGGAAAATTGAAACAAACTCTGCTCCTTCCCAGTATCAAGATCTTTAACCCTAGGAAATGTTTTCCATACAATACACCTAAATAAATTCCAACAGACTGTGGGAATGATGGGCTTACTTGACCTACTTTAGGACACTTGTTTCCTAAACCTTTTAAGTCTGACCTCAAAATCCACTAGTTTTGTATATAAAGATATCTGTCTTACCTGATCTGTCATTAAAACCTTGTTGAAGGAGCATTACTCTCTGAGCGATAGACATAGCTCTCATATGAACCTTTTCAGCTAAAACCTTAAAGAGATAATAATAATAAAAAGATGGTCATTAAATTCAACATAGCTTATATATTTCATAACTAGTAATATTTCCTTAATCTAAGAAAATTACCCAGAATCTCCAGAAAAATTAATAGCTAGAAGCACATTTAATGTAATAAGATTCTACCAAAATTATCTATACTCTCCATCTGTAAAAATCTCAGTTGAAGAAATCATTATTATGTGCCAAATATTTTTCAGAAGTATTTTAAGAATATGGCTTCTTGTAAGAATATGCCTACACAAGATAGTGGACTTATTTACCTGATAAGCCAGCTTTCTGACAGCCTCTTTCACATCCTTGGTGCGCCCTACAATTTTTGGCAAAGTCTTTGCTGATGGTGTAATACACGATAACACTGCCCGCCTAACTTCTGGATTTGAATCATTTTCAATCAAAGTAGCATATGCTAAAAATAGAGCAATACATTTTAGTACACTAAATAAATATTATTTAACCATAGTCATAAGATAGCCCACATTTTGATATTTAATATCTTTGAAATAATAAAGATACCATTTTTAAGTCTTACACCTTTAATTTTAGCTGAAGATTTTTTCTGCCAGCTTCCCTTAAAAAGAATAGAATAAGAAATTAGTCAATGGACTGAGCATGGAGGCTAAAACTGAAAACAAATAGCCCTCAATATCATGGAAAATCCATTACTAAGATTATGTCTTTGCTCTCTTTAGGATTTAGTAGAAAGTCTAGTATAGCAGGCAGTTTATTTTAAACTGATATGGCTTTATAATGGGTTCATTATTTTCATTTTTAATGAGTTCTAAAAAGAAATAACTTCTGGTTTTACTCATTGAAACACAACCCATTTTCTGTATTTAAATATTTATTCACCTACTTCTCAAATTTTCCCCAGCTTTATAATCAAGTACGTATTGACTATTAAACATGTATGTTTTACACAATATTATTATGTGTATCATTTAACACCAAAAAATACCAACTATCACCAATTATCAAAATTGATTATAAAGCTAGTAACAGGGACAAAGAGAAAAATGAAACAGATGAGTGCCTGAAATACACCTAGGCATACATAGAAAAGTGGAAGGCATATATGGAAAAATATGCTGATAATTTTGACACTAGGAATTTCTATTGAACAAAAGACATCCTAAAGAGAGTGAAACAATAAGCCCTCTAAAGTAGGACGAGATCTACAATTCATATAACCCAGTTTTCATTTCAGAATACATCAAGAACTCCAATAAATCAATAAAACAAACGAACAAAAAAACAGGCAGAACACTTTAAGAGGCATTACATAGAAGAAATATAATTGGCTGCTAAATATAGGAAAAGATGCATAACAATGACATATATCATACACATAACCAGATTAACAAAAAGTTAAAAATCTGACAGTACCAAACACTGGAGAGGATCTAAATCAATTGAACACTTTCATGCACTATTAGTGGGAATGTTAATTGGTAAATTGTTTTGTAGAACACTTGTACCTCATCTAATAAAGCTGAATTCACACATACTCCAACAAGTCCACCCCTAGGTAAATACCCTAGAAAAACTTGAGCCTGTGCACCAGAAGCCATGTATAAGAAAGTTCATAACAACACTGTTTAACAGCAAAATAACTGGAAACAACTAGAAGGTCCATCAATATTAGAAATATTAAACTGTGTTACATTCATACAACAGAACACTATACAACAGTAAATAAATATATCAACATGGATGAATGCTACAATTAGAAATAATGTTGAGAGCACAGAAAAATATAGTATGATCCACATAGCATACAAAATGACAGGCAAAATTTAACATTATTTAGAGATACATACATGTGGTTAATTGTTTAAATAAAAAGGCAAGAGAATAATTAACCCAAAATTCAGGATAATGGTTAACTCTGAGGGACAGTGATGTATGTAATTGGGGTGGGACGTAAGATAGGTTTCAAGGGTACTGATGATGCTCTATTTTTTTAAGTTAGGCAGTGGCTACTTGGGTATTTTTTTAAAATCATATATATAAAACACCTATACTCATCCATACATATAATTCATAATAAAAAAATTTGTCTAATGAGAATTTAACAAAGTCAACGAAAGTGAAAAAGGATTTAGGGAGCTACACGTACCATTAACCACTGGGCATTCATCATCTTTGGGATCCTGAAGACGTGAAAGAGCCAGAACTGCCTGTATCCTCACATTTGGAATTTTATCTTTCAATCTAATAAGCATGGCTTCATTAATTTTATCAAACAAATCATCATCAATCTGGGCATTTTCTGGCATACTTCCCAAAAGCTTGTTTATGAGCTGGCACACTCTAAATCTAACTGCATTGCTGTTTGCTTCATGAGACTGAAACAGAAACACATCAAAATTTATTCATAGTCACATACTATTACTAAATAATTACACACCATTTGAATTATATGTTTAGAATTCAAGACGTTACAAAGGTAATTCATTCCTTGCAGAAAAACCATAATGCTACCTTGACTCATACGAATACTAAATATACAATATATAAAAGCTCAAAGTATACAGTCAGAAGTAAATATGTGCTCAATTACAAGAGCATATTCCCCTCTGTAGGAACTCTTACTTTACTTCCAAAATAGAGAACTCATTTAAAACACATGTATGTGATAACTGGTTTAGAGAAGTCACTAAAAATTTAACGCTGGAGTTATTTTAAAAGTCCACCTTTTAATCTTAATGACAGTTCTAATATTTCCTATAAAAAGCAGACTCATTCACAGACGCTCTCCATTATCAGATATTTCATTCTCTAAAACATACAAACTCCCAGGTCCCTTTTAATATAGTAAAATTTTCTACAGTACTTCCCAAAGTTCTAGTTTTCATAATACCTTTAATAGAAAAGTAAACAAATAATTTAAAATGCCACCATCTTCCTCTTCCTCCTCATCTTCCAGATCTGACTGGTGAAAGGAAGTAACAAACTTGGCTGCAAATTCTATGACCCTCTCCACAGCTGGTTCTCGTTTATAGACCACCATAGCATATTTAAGGTAATGAACGAACTCCTCATGAAAAACTGTTTTATTATCCATCTGAAAGACAAAAGAAACCTTCACAAACTGCACTGATAAAATCCTTTTTTCCCAACATTACCCTAAGACTGCTGAAAGCACTAGCCATAACTCAGACAAACCAAAATTATTTAGTAAACTCTCAATTATCCAAACCATCAAAGGGGACATGAATTTGCACGAATTTCTCTCCAGGGACATTTAATTCTCCTAGGGAGAAAACAAACGCGAATTTTGACAGTGAACAGATTCCTTTGGTATTTTTTTTTTCAATACCCTTGAATTCTCCATACGCCTTGGTACCGGTTTAAATACGCTTCATGAACAACCCAAAACCAACAGGGCTTTTACATCTTACCATATGTAGCCTTATCGACACACCAATTTCCTTTTGACATAACTTGCACATCCCTTCTCATATCCTCAAGCCCTGTTATACTGACTCACCATTTTTCTTGGACTTCCAGATAATTTATTTTCCCGAAATTCACTGCCCTATTCTTCTCACAGCTCCACTCAAAAACAAAACAAAACAAACCCCCAAAACAAACAGTATTCACGCGAACAGAAGAGCCAAGTGCTAATGACGCATCTGCTCTTTGGTGGTTTGACTCAATGTACCCGGGGGGCGAGGTGAGAATGCTGTGACTGGCGGTCGCTGTGGGCGGAGACCCGAGGGACACGACCACCGCGTCCAGGAGCTACCCTGCGGCCCAAGACTTGGTGCCCGGCAGCCCCGGTGCCCGTAAACGTTCCTCTCCGAGTTCACCGCCCGACAAACGATTAACGGTCCGCGCCAAGGCCGCTGTGAAGAGGGGGGGTGCCCGGGCGACCTCGGGCAAGTCGCCAGACCTGTCCCCGAACCGGGTCGGGAAGGGTAAGGAGGTTGGCGTCGCGGCGCCGAGTCCGGAGGGTCAGCGGAGGCCCCTGGGGGAGGCTGGCCGGGGAGGGCGGGGCGCCCGGGGCCGCGGGCCGGCCGCGCTTACCAGGCCGTAGGTGCGGCTCAGCGCCCTCACCAGCTTCGCCTGGTTCTGGTGCGGCTGCTGCGCCAGCCGAAAGACCTCCTTCACCGACAGCAGCCTCTTCTCCACCCCCATGGCGCCGGGACCCCGCTGGGACGAGCCCTGTCCGCGCTCGGCTGCAGCTGCCGGACCGACCACAGGCCGAGTAGCCACAGAGTCCCGCCAGCCGCCGCTGGGCGCCCAGGGCGTGGTTACCGCCAGACTGTTTAAATAACTCCCGCGGGAGACGGAAATACCGCGAGACTGCCGCGAGAGCTTCAAGAGGCGAGAGCGGGAAGAGATGGATCCACCCCCCCTCAAACCCCGGCGTTTGGGCGCATGCGCTTAGCCTCAATCCAGTCATTATCCGAGTGGGAAGTGGCGTTTCTAAGAGGAGGGGGCGCCGGCTCCCCCGGAAGTGGTGCCGGCAGGGAGGGTGAGCGGAGTGGCGCTGCGACTGTTGGGACAGAGCTCGTGGCGCTAGGCCTAGCCGGGTCGTGTGGCTGGGCGTGAGGCGCGAAAGGAGAAAGGAGCCTCCATGGGTGAGAACAGGGAATCTGCTGAAGGGAACAATCCCTGCTCCGCCTGAAGGGGAGCAGGGGATCCCGGGAGGAGGGGTACGTTTGGAGATCCGTCGAGAAGGGAAAGATAGGGGGGCGGCCAGCGGCCCGGCTTCTACGAAGAAGGGAAACGTTGCCGGGTCTGCCGAGGGGGGCGTTCCGAGGTCTGATGATGGAGGCGCCGCCGTCTTTTTAAGCCTTAGGTCCTCGGTTTGTGGAGGGTCTGCAAAGGAGGGAGACCGTCCGAGAACCGCTGCAAAAGGAGGCACGGTTTAATTTAGATACAGCTTATTCTAAATGTACCCGCTTTCGGGCCGGTTACAAAGATGCATAACGACAAGGTATTCGACAAAGGAGAAGACAGAGAATGGAAAAGTGTTTAGGTAGTGGTTAAGATAAATTTGGAGTGCCTTGGAGCAGGAACTAAGCCTTTAAGCTTTTTTTAAAAAATGGAATTATGTCAGACAAAAACGAACACCTCCGTACCCACAACCAGCTAAAGAAATAGATTAAAAGCCGCCTGTATACACTTACTATGAATTACCTTCCCTCCCCAGCTGTAACTGATTTTGTGAATTTACTGTCCATTTTTATGTATTAACGACATGAATAAATCACAGGATAAGTATATTGTGTTGTTGTCACGTTATATGAGTAATCATAGATGCAGCTTGCTGTTTTCGATCAGTATTTTTTTTGAGGTTTCTTCATATTGATACTAACTTAAACCTTGTGGGCTCTTATGTGCTAGGCACTGTTATCAACACTTAACTTCGTTTAATCCTTACAAATAACCCCTGTAAGGTAACTTCTGTCTCCTTTTGAGATGAGGAAACTGAGGCACAGACGGGTTGCTGTAGTATTCTATTGTATGAATATGCCATAATTTATTCATCCATTCTCTTGTTTCATATTCCTAATTCCTGAAATGTTGTAGGTATTCAAATGCTAGTTAAAGTAATGAATATAGTAGCATTTGGGTTGCCAGTAATTTAAAAATTACAAGATGTCTAGTTTCTGAAAAGGTGAGAAGGGTATTTTAGGTTAATCAGCTGGAGGAGAAGCATAGAGCCCTAAGAATGCATGGAATACCTATACTGATAACATTTATAATCTCACTATAGCTAAAAGGCAGAATGCCTGGAAAGCTGTGGTGAAAGCTAGAAAGGGCATTAATTTTTTAAGGAAGTATATCCAAAATATTATCATTTCAACATGTAATCAGCATAAATTATTAATGAGATAATTTACATTCTTTTTTTTCCCTGCTAAGTCTTTGAAATTGGGTATTTTACACTAGCTATATTTCAGGTAGGCACATGTGGCTAGTGGCTACAGTATTGGACAGTGCAAAACTACGGATTCTTACTTTGAGAACCACTGTATATGCCATTCGTTTTACATGTAAAGTCAACTAGTAAACTGAAAATTAGAACAAACTAATATTTGGAGGCATTTTTCTTATTCTGTGGCCGTTAATTACTCAGCTTTCTTTATGCTTTGGGTCCCTGATACCTTTATTGCTTTGTTTGTGAAGTTTCTAACAATATTATTTCCTTTATTTTGTATGATTGTTTCACCACAAATGAGAGATGACTTCATACCATTTTGTCAGTTACAGAAGGATGAAGGGTCTGGCCACCAGAGGTCAGCCTAACTATATTTTGATTAGCTTTTTTTTAGGATTAATAACATGTTTTTGTTCAGTATTTATTGAACATTATAATCTGAAAAATTAAAAAAAAGATACTAGATTTCAAACTGAAAAGGCAACCTTTGGAATAGGAGAAAATATTTGCAAACCGTATAGCCCATAAGGAGTTAATATTCAAAATATATAAGGAACTCATACAACTCAAAAAAACAAATAACTTTATTAGAAAATGGCAAAGGACCTGAATAGACATTTTTCCCAAGAAGACATACAAATAGCCAACAGGTATATGAAAAGATGCTTACCATCACTACTCATCAAGTGCAAATCAAAACCACGGTAGGACATCACCTCACACCTGTTAGGATGACTTATTAAAAAGTCAAAAGATAAGTGTTGGTAAGAATGTGGAGAAAAGGGAACCCTTGTTAACGTTGATGAGAATGTGAATTGATACAGCTATTATAGAAAACAGTATGGAGTTTCCTCAAAAAATTAAAAATCTTTGCCATATGCTCCAGCCATCTCACTTCTCTCTGGGTATATATTCAAAGGAAATAAAATCACTATCTCAAAGATATGTCTGCACTTGCATGTTTATTTCAGCATTAGTCACAAGCCAAGATATGGAAAAAACCTAAGTGTCCGTGGAAGGGTAAATGGTAAAGATGTGGTGTATACACACACACACATACACAATGGAATACTATTCAGTCTTAATAAGGAAGGAAATCCTATAATTTGAAAAGCACAAGTCAACCTGGAGGACATTCTGCTATGTGAAATAAGTTAGACACAGAAAGACAAATATTGAGTGATCCCACTTATATGTGGAGTCTAAAAAAGTCAACTCAAACTCATGGTAACAAAGAGAAGAATGATCGTTACCAGTGGCTGGCAGGTAGAGGAAATGGGGAGATATTGGTCAAAGGGTATAAACTTTGAATTATAAGATGAGTAAGTTCTGGAGGCCTAATCTACAGCGTGGTAACTATAGTTAATAATTATATATACTTTGAAATTTGCTAAAAGAGTAGATCTCAAGTGTTTTTACCACACACAAAAATGGTAACTGTGAGGTGATGGCTATAGCTTGATTGTGATCATTTCATAGTGAATACATATATCAAAACATCACATTGTACATGTTAAATGTATACAATTTGTCAATCATACCTCAATAAAGCTGGTAAAAAAGATGCTATATTAACCCTAAACATCAGTCTCACTGCCTTAAAGTTTACCTGTTTATTGACTTTGCTTTTAGTGCTATGGGAAAAAAGAACAAATAATAGCAACTATGGGAATACGTCTCTTCCTATTCTGGGTAAACTTAGTTTAGTTGAAGAAATAATGAAACTAAAGAATTTGTATGGTAAGGCTATCTAGTTCTGAAATCACAGAAAAATCATTCTTTAAAGGTAAATTATACATGGGAGTATATAGAGTAGATGTGGTTAATTCAATTTTGATATGGGAAAATTATGCACATGGCATGTAAAGGAGTAGCAGTGATGCGTTCACTCTAGAATTTATATATGCCTTCAAAGAGACTGTCTTATTTCTGCTAAAAAAGTAGAGTGAGCCTTTTAAAGAAAGCTTTGAGTAACATAATTGAAGTACAGCCAATTAATAATCTTGGCGATGGAATCTGGTTGAAATGAAAATAGTAAAAATATAAGAGGACAGAAGAATTAAAAGCCAATAGCTTAGCCTGTCTCAATTAGTAAAATAAAGACTTGTGGTATGTTTTGAATTTTCTTTTTGTTTTCAGATTGAACTAGGTAATAATATAAACTTCAAAGTATTTGCATTCATGTTTCTTCTTAAAGCTTAGGTTATAAGCAGTTCCCTTTATATTGCTTTAGTAGCATCGTTGATCCTGCTTTAAAAAAATTGTTTCATTTGTCTTTGTCCGACATATTACCAAATTACCTGAATATAATTTGGAAATTTTTGTCTCCCTAGAATAAAAATAGAACACACTTGTATTGTTACTTATAGCAGGACTTCGTCATTCTCTCATTAATTCTTTTAAAAAATTTTCTAAGCCCCTGATATGTGCCACACAATGCTGGGAACTGAATTAGATAGAATATGTGGAAGCCGGAGAAATATTCTTTAAAGGAATATTACTGATGTGAAGCCATACCGTATGACCTTATTAGCACAACTCTGTGTATATTTGAAACTAGACCTGTTTACTGACGTTCATTTTGGAAATCACTCCTACAGAATGGCGTAAATTGGATGTTGATATTTTGGTTTTTGCTTTTTTCATTTAGAGCTAGGCGTTTAGTCCATCCATGTGGCTGTGTATATTTCTAATGTGCTTTCACCACATTTTACCTATCCACTCCTCCAGTGATGGAAACCTAGAATGCTTCTAATTCCTTACCATCAAAGATGAAGCTTCAGAGTACATATTGGTCTTATGAAGAATTTCTTTGCTGTATATACCCAAGAGTAGAATTGCTCTATCGTGAGATGTGCAAATAGTTTGGCTAAGGAGTGCTGCCAGAATTGCTCTTCATAAAGGTTATCCCACTCTATAAACCCACTAGCAGTGGTGGTTCCTAAAGGAGTTCCTTTAATCTCCTCACTAACATTTGGCGTTGTCCAGCTTTCTAATTTTTACTAAACTAATAGAATAATGTGGTATCATATAGTTAATGGCCTGTGTATTTTCTCTTTTGTAAATTGGATATTTTTGTCCTTTGCCCATTTCTTTATTGAGGTTGCTCATTTTTTGTTGTTGTTGATTTGTAGTTAACTTTGTTCTTGATGTCTTTAGTTCAATCCAGAAATGATTAATTTTGATATGACTAAATTCATCATTTTTTGGTCTTGTGCTTTATATTTTTTTATTTAAAGAGTCTTTCTCTGGCCCTAAGTCACAAAGATGTTCTCCTGCGTTATATTCTATTAACTATATAGTTTTACCATTCTTATTTAGGTCTTTAATCCATCATGAGTCCTCCTTTGTACATGGCGTTATATAGATATACAGTTTTATTTTTCTTCATATAATGAGCCAGTTTTACCAGTATTATGTACTAGGTGCATTCATTTAGCCTCAATTTATGTGCTAACTTTATTTTATACTACATTCCAAAATTTTATATGGCTCTGTTTCTGAGCTTTGTTCTGCTCCATTGGGCTACGTGTGTGTTCTTACACTAACTCCACCCTATTTTAATTCCTGTGACTTTTGTAATATCTGTTAATATCTTGTAGGCCAAGAACCCCCTTTGCTCTTCTGTTCAAATAGTTGATTTGGCTATATAAGGAATTTTATTCTTTCCATGTTGGGATTATAATTAATTTGAAAAAAGTTGTTTTAATATTCATTTGTTCCATCCAAGAGAATGGAATGTCTGTTTATTTTAAATCTTCTTCTTTGTCCTTTATTAGAATTTTATGTTCTTCTTCATAGAGGTCTTGTATATTGTTTGTTATTTCCTAGATCCTTTATAGGTTTGGTGTTTCGTTTTGTTTTGTTTTTTCCTATTGTGAAAGGTATTTATGCAATAAATTTTCTAGTTAGTATTGCTGGTATAGAAGTTAAGAGTGCCTGGGTTCAAATCCTGACTATTACTTAGTAGATGTATGACTTGGGTAGGTAGCTTAAACCTCATGTGTAAAATGGGGACAATAAAACTACCTATCTTATAGGGTCGTTGGGAAAATTTTAAATGAGTTAACAAAGGTACAGTTCCTAGAATAGTACCTGACAAATAGTAAGTGCTATATAAATAAATTAATGAATATTCATGGGTTAATCTCAGATCCAAGAACTTTGTTGAGCTCTTATATTAGCTCTAATAGTTTACATGTGAGGTTTTTTTAATTAGGTGACTATATCATCTGTAAATTAATAGTTTCATCTCTTTTCTTCCAGTGTTTACACCTGTCATTTATTCTTTTTTTTATAACATTGGTTAGGACTTTTGGTGCTGTGTCAGTATCAGTCATCCTGGTCATCCTTACCTAATTTCATTTTTAAAGGGAATATATCTAAAGTTATTCTTTTCGGATAATATTTGCTGAAAATTATTGATAAATAACCTTCACCAAGTGGAGAAAGTGACTTTCTCTTCCTAGTTTGGTAAGAGCATCTTGTTTTTTAAGCATAAAAAGGTGTTGATCAAGAACTAAGAAAGGTTAAATATCCACAGTTGATAAAATTATCTGATCTTTTTTTTTTTCCGCTTTATTATTGTGGTAGCTTATATTTGTAAAATTTCTGAAGTTGAGATATTCTTGCTTTTGTGGGATAAGATGTATATGATTATAACATATTCTGTTTTTCTTTAATACACTATTAGATTTTGTTAGATAATATTTGGAATTTTTCTAAGTGAAATGAACCTATACTTTTATTATTTGGTTCATCTCTAGATTTGGAATTAATATTTTATTATCCTCATAAAAGGAGCTGTTCAGTTTATATGCTTTTTTCTTTCTTCTGGAACTTATGTAAAATAGGTATTAGTTTCCTTGGAAGTTTGGTGGAACTCACTTGTAAAACCATATGGGCCTGGTGTAAGAGGTTGTTACCTTTTCAGTTTCTTTAATACTTACTGGTCTCTTCTATTCCAAGTTATCTATTTCTTCCTGTATAAATCTTAGTATTTTATATTTTTCTAGAATTTAGCCATATCATCTAGATTTTCACATTTTAGCCTGTATATTTGTCATGTTTTTTATTTTTAATCTGTTATTTGTAAATCTCTTAATAAGTCTCACCAGTTTCATTTTTCTTATTTATATTTTCAGAAAACCATCTTTTAGTTTTATCAGTCTTCTTTAATGTTCTTTTATATACTATTTTATTTCCCTTTTATTATTTCCTTCCTGCTTATTTTGCTGTTGCTCTTTTCCATTATCTTGAATTGAATGGTTAACGTGTGGATATTTAAACTTCCTTGTTTCCTTATCAATATATTCAAAGCTATAAATTTCTTGTAGGTACTGGTTTGGCCGTGTTCCACAAATTTTGCCTTGTAAGGTTTACATTATTATTCATTTTTAATATTTCTTTATATCTTTTATGATTTCCATTTTAGTCCATGAGTTATTTAGTTTCCCAACATAGGATTACTTTTAATTAATCTTTAATATCTAGTTTTATTGCATTATGATCAGAGAATTTAGTCTGAAATTGACCCTTTGGAATCTAGTTATACTTTATAACCTAATGCGTGATCTATGTGTATGTGTGCTCAGATATCTATTCTGTTTGCTATAGAGTTCTGTATATTTATATAATACCTACAGTATGTTAATATTTTAACTGTTTTTCAGGCTTCTTATATCCCTGCTTATATTTCCCCCTCAGTTCTAGCAGTTGTTACTTGAGAAATTTTGATGATGTGCTTTCAGGATCATATATGTTTATGATGAGTATTTGTCATTTAATTCTTTTTGCTTTACTGTTATCATCCATCTTTGTCTCATATTTTTTGGCTTGAAATCTTTTTTTGTTAGATATTAAGATTGCTAACCCAGCTTTATTTTGGTCCACGGTTGCCTGATACATCTTTTTGCATCTTTTTATTTTTGACCTTTCTGTATCTTTTTGCTTTAAAAGCAGCATGTTACTGAATCTTGTTTTGTTTTGTTTCTTCAGTCCATTCTGAGTGTCTATCTTTTAATTGTGAGTTTATCTATTTACATTCATTGTAATTCCTACTATATTAAGATTTGTTCCTACCATCTTCTCTCATGCCTGTAGAGTATATGGTCATATGACCATAACCTTTGGGGTCCCAGCAGGAGTCCTAACATCTAGCAGCTCCACCAGCAGGACAGGTCCCCTAAAACTAATTCCAAAAAGCACATCTAAAGGTAAAAAGATAATTTTTCTAGCTCTCTATTTGGAGTTTGAGGCATACGGGATCTGCTTTTACAGAAGTAATTTTCTGAGCTCGAACTGCAAACTAAAAAAGAAACTGGCCAAGATATGTACCAACAAAGGATTAAAATGGCCCCAGGCTCTCCTTCCCAATTTTGTGATTGTAGGAGCCATTTCCGATAGAAAAATCTACCTACGCCTATGAGCTAGAGATGGGAAAGTCAAGAAGGCTTCTTGTTCAGTGTCCATGTTCTTGGATATTCTATAAAGTTAGATGGACAATAATGTTACTCACTGCTTTCAGGCTTTAATATCATGTCTCTAGTCTTCTCATTCACAGGTTAAGGCTACCTTTCCAGATAGTCCAACAACTAAGTCACCAGTTTCCAAGGGCATTTGCACCACCTATGGAAAACAGCGGATCTGTGCACACCAGATATCCTTGACAACTCATCCCACCATCCCCTGCACAAAAGTTGCTGTATCAAGCGGACAACGAAGGCGACCACTGAGTTTCTTTTTATCACTATCCGTGCCAACAAAACAGAGTACACAAAGTGTCTCTTCACAATATCACGACCGGTTGAGACCCTGCTAAGAAAATCAGCTTGCCTAGATGAGGACCCCTTCACTTCTTGGTTAGCCAGGATTTGAAGGAGAGATTCTGTCCTGTGCTACTGGTAAGTGACTAACACTTTTACACACTGAACTGGTCCTGAGAACTGAGATGTCTTCTTTATAAGTGAAGAATATACAACATAATCTTGAAGAACGGCGCAGTGGTGTGAGCCAGAGGCATACTGTGTGTGGGTGTGTAATGGACTGAGAAACAGACAAATTAATCTTGTTGAAAGGATTTTTCGTCTTTTGTTTCTATTTGCCAGTGCTAGTCAGTGTTTTGCTGGCTTAGATTGTTACCTTTTTCTGGTTCCTTTTTCTGTTCCATTCTAATGGGTCCCAGAAATCCCTCTCCTGACCCCTTATCAGAATCAGAAAGTGAGGAAGAAGAAAATGCTAACTACCTAAATGAGAGTTCTGGGGAAGAGTGGGATTCCTCTGAAGAAGAGGACCCTGTGGTGCCCAACCTAACGCCTCTTGAGAGTCTTGCCTGGCAGGTTAAGTGCCTTTTAAAATATTCTACAACTTGGAAACCGTTAAATCCTAATTCCTGGTTATATCATGCTAAACTCTTGGATCCAAGCACACCGGTCCATATACTTCGAGAGATAGGGCTAAGACTCTCCCATTGTTCCCATTGTGTACCCAAACTGGAACCAATTCCTGAATGGCCTCCTCTGGCTTCTTGTGGAGTCCCACCTTTTCAAAAGCCCCTTACAAGTCCCAGCCGGCTTTCTAGAGATCACGCCACTCTAAATGGAGCACTGCAATTTGCTACCAAACAGTTAAGCCGAACATTGAGTAGAGCCACTCCCATACCTGAATACCTAAAACAGATCCCTAATTCATGTGTTTCTGGTTGTTGCTGTGGCTGGTTAACTAAAACAGTTAAGGAAACAACCCGCACTGAACCCATCAACACTACTTACTCCTACACTGACTTCCAAAAGGCAGTTAACAAACTCCTAACTGCATCACTATAAAGATCCACCATTTGTTCTGATACCTCCTGCTGTTATTTGAGACAGGAGTACAAAGTTACACAGCCCACAGTTGAGAAACTAATGCTTTCTCAACCAAACCATGCCCTGTCCTGACAGGCTGAAGTACTACCAAGTATTGAATATATACCCAAGAGTCCCATAACTCACCTGCAGAAAATGTGCATTGTGAGCATTCCCTTTAACAGACCATGTCGATAAAATGAGAACTTCAATGGCGAATTAGTCAAAGGGACCATATTATAAAAGATAAGTTGACTGTTCTCCACACTCAGTTCTCCCCCCAATTTATTCTGCCTGTCTGAATTAGGGATTCCTATTTTTTTGGGAGGGAGTGCAGTCTCAAACCTAGCCTACTCCTCTCTAGACCTATCACGGTACCTGCAGTTACTGCATAAACGTTTTATATCGTAGGCTCCCACCAGGCTGTCTCTAGCTAAATTGGCCTACAAGATCATACCTGGGGATTAAACAGACACTTGTTTTGTAGGGAATATGTTTCCTCCATCTTGGCACCCAGACATTAGTCAAGAGCAAATAAAACACATTCTAAAAGACCAATGGGAAAGGATTAAAAGAGCATTTATGCTTTCAGTATTAACTGCTAGTGGATTAAAGTATTTCATCTGTATAGTGTTCTCTGGAGCTGTACTTTGGGCACTTTCCACATCCATTGCAAACTTTTCAAGAACCCTTCTAACTTTAAAGAACCTTACTACAAAAAGTTTTAGCCTAATGCAGTCTGAAGTTAAAGAATTTTTTAGCATTCTTGTTTCTACATAGATTAGATTTCTGTCTAGCTAAACAAAGAGAATGTACCCTTGTAAATGAGTCTTGCTATGTTTATTTACATGAGTCAAAACATAGAAATCAACATACATAAAATGCATGAGACCATTAAATCTTTTCGCACACCTACAATAAAGAGTGAAACCTGTGTGTGATCCTGGTTGACTGGCATCTAAAGGGACTCAGAAAGTAGATTGTTAAAGATATAACATATATCCTCTTCCTTGTTTTAGTTTTGCTTTTCCTGTTCTCCATAATTAAGTGCTGTATACAATGTGGCATCAAAAAATCGAAGCATTAATGGATTCACAAATTTTATATATGTATAGCAACTTGAGGAGAGAAGAATTTATGACCTAATGAGTTATTTCTGCTGAGCCTTAGTTGTCTTGTCTTAAGAAAAAAGGAGGCAATTGTAGTAGGTAGAAAAAAATAATTAGTAGTGGAAAATTGCTGAACTGAAACTATATCATACTGTTAGTGTAACTGAATGTGTCAGAAACTGATCCTATGTAGATGATCTGTGAAACTGGTTTTTAAAATGCTACAAGAACCTGTTTCTTTCTTTAAGGGGGAGGTGGGGCGATGTAGGGAGGTCTAAAAATTAAAATATGTTGATGTTTATGTAACCATACTATGTTCGTTTTTCTGTGATGTGTGTGTATATAAAAGTGCCTTGCTCATGAACGCATTTTTGCTATTCCCTCCAAAAGGAACCTTTTCCCCAGCTTCGCAGCTGAATAAACCAACAGTTTTGTATTTGCTGAACAGAGTATGGTCATTTGTTCCCAACAAATGAAATAGATCTTGCTTTGCTTAAGGCATAGTCAACATTCATTGAGTGCTGAATAGAGTCAATAGATATAGTATCTATATCTATACAATGTCTCTGATAGGAGGTGACTTGGCAGCTCTAAAAAAAGAACATTATTGAAGAAAATGTCAGATATTCAGTCAAGACCCGGATTTGAACCCATTGGTTTGTATATGTTAAGTAATTCCAGGTTGCACAAAATGATCCGTACCTGAATAAGCCTTTAAGCCTTTACTTCTTTTTGTGCGCCATGGATGTGGAGTTAGGGGTGAGTTTACCACTTTCATACTCTCCCTACATGGTCCTTTGGTTAAATGCAGTCACCATAATTAGGATAAAGAAGGACAAATTTATTTTCTTTTTATAGAAATATTTATCAAAGGAATAAGGAAATAGAATTTCTAAACCAATAGACATTAATGTTACGTAAAGGTATTATTCTCTCGGTGCAGATAGATAGCCTCTTTTTGTTGCAACAGTCTAGACAGTTTGAACCCAGAAGACCATAAGCATGTCTTTTAAACTCATCAGCTTCCTAAGAGAAGGAAAAAATCAGTACATGGCAGGAGGAAGGCAGATTTTAGGTCACCTTTAGGGGATTATCCTGCTGGGACTTCTATGACAACTATCTATCAAAATTTCTCTGATGAAAACAGTGTTTTGATATTAGAGTAGATATGGTTAAAGCAATTAAGACCTTAGAAGTCACTTGGGTTATTTTTCTGCTGATACATAAATTCTCTTACATTTCTAATAAATGATTTTCTGCTTTTGGCTCCAGTGTTAGAGAACTCAGTGTCTTTCGGGGTAGCCCATTAGTTTTAAATATCTCTGTTAGGAATTTAGTCATGCATCTAATAACATTATGGAGTGCCTACTATAATCCAGACATTGGGAGTGCAAAATTAAATATGATAGTATACATAAGAAATTAGTTTTAGGGGCTGGCCCGGTGGCGTAGTGGTTAAGTTCGTATGCTCTGCCTCGGTGGCCTGGGGTTTGGAGGTTGGAATCCCAGGAGCAGACCTACGCACCGCTCATCAAGCCATGTTGTGGCCACATCCCATATACATGATAGAGGAAGATGGGCATGTATGTTAGCTCAGGGCCAATCTTCCTCAGCTAAAAAAAAGAGGAAGATTGGCAACGGATGTTAGCTAAGGGTTGGTCTTCCTCACTAAAAAAAAAAATAATAATAAGTTTTAGGATATATTGAACTCATATAAATTAGCCCAAAGCTTTTGGCCATTGATGCCATTTCTGCTCTCTAGGGTCACATTAAATAAGCCTGATCCTTATACTAGCCCTTAAATATTTAAAAACGGGGCAGCCATCAAAGTGTAGTGGAATTTCATGTGGAGGGCACACTCTGACAATTAAACCCCACGGGACATAGTCAGCTAAGGGAATAGAAAAAATAAATAGGTATTTTATACACAGATTTAAGTTGTATATGCTAAGTTCACAAGGCAATGGCACACAAAGATCAGGGTCAGAGGTGTTTTGCTCATGGCTGGGGTATATAGAAAAGCCCTGAAAGTGTGGATAAGTTCTCAGACTTCATGAGACAACTTTGTGCAAGCTGCTGGCACATGAGTCCACCAATGAGCAATATCCATTGAACGAGGGAAATTGAGGGAGCTTCGCTCGCTGACGCCAACCACCAGGTATTTCTTCTCTGTCAACTTGTTCTTACCAAAAGGATAATCTCCATGGTGTATCTCTGCCAATTTTAAACAATGTTTAGTTGGTGGCTACATGTTTGACTCTGATCATTGTGTACAGACTTTCAAGCTCTTCCTTTCAATTGGTGACAGCAGTGGGATTATATAAAAGTTTTGGAAGTGAAACCAAGAATATGAAAGGAGGGGTACCACAATGACCTGACACTTGCTGGCTGCCCAGCTCCTGTTAGCTGTGAGAGCTATGACTAGCTCTTTTCAATGAGATAAGGAATGCCTGATTTACAGATAATTTAAAATAAGGTAGCGGGCAGACAGTACCAGAGTTGTTGCTTCTAAACAGCATGAAGTCAGTTTAGAATGTTAGCAACAGTTTAGGATTGGATTATAAAACAGTAAGTTGACTGGAGTTTGGACAGTTTATTTGGGAAGACATAGATGACCCTGACACGTGATATGAAAATTTCTGGGATCATTTGGGAAGTGATGCCCTATTCTCTGGAATAGGACATAATCAGTAATCATCTAGGAGATTCAGGATCCTAGTCAGCTTAACAAGATTAAAACTGAGTTCCTACTATACATAGAAACCAAGCTGGTGTGGTATCAAATTAGACTTCAACAGAAACCAGATGAAACAGTCTTAGCATAAGTGTTGCAGTTTGTAAATTCAGGAGCTGGTAATATCTTCTTATTTGGGGGGCAATTATTATGTTTAGGTTAACTGCTAAGCCCATGATTAATACTACCCATAGTGTCAACTGTGGGACTTGACACTCCAATATATCAATTAGTGTTTTACAGTGTATTAATTAGGCAGTGGTCCTGTAGGGGCAACTTCCTTTGGGAGATACCCAAACAATTGGAAAAGTCCAAGGGTATGGCCATCTTCCATCAAAAAAGACCCTAGATTGGCTTTATGATTGCACCCTGAGCAACCAGAATGACTTGATAGAGTGGCAGAGCTGTGGTGACACAATTAAGGGCCCTCCCCACTATCTGGAGAAACTGAATTGCTATATTAATTGAAAGCATTAATGTTGGCCACAGCCAGTGCATTCCATGGGGACTTAACTCAAAGTGAGTTATACGGTGTTGGCCCCTGGCTACCTGCTTGTTAGTTATGTAGACTTTGCCAGTGGCTTGAATGCTTTGGTCCAGATCCCAGTTTCCTTCTTTAAATCCAATTTTTTTATGTTGGTCACTTTCTACTTATGATACATTGTTTCTTTAAATGTAGTTGGGTTGCCACATTTAGCAAATAAAAATACAGGTTGTGCAGTTAAATTTGAATATTAGATAAACAGTGAAATATGGGAAATACTTATATCCGAAAGAAGTTATTCATTATTTATCTGAAATTCAGATTTAACTGGCATCCCATATTTTATCTGGCAGCCCTATAAACGTGTTAGTAGCATTGATTAATCTTGGGTCGTAGTTGTGTAGTTGTTCCCAGGGAACATGTGTTGTTTTCTTACCTCCGAATACTTATGAGGGGAGAAGGTGGTTAACATATAGTTGACCCAAGGTTAGAACTGTTGAGAGGTAGAGGAGGAAGCCCAATTGCAGAAATGAGAGTTTTTATAGGAGACATATTGTATTTGGCTAAAATAATCACAAAATCATTAAAATATTTCCAGACATAAAAATTTTTTAAATATTGTCTCAATACTAAGTAGTTTAGGTTTATTGTTTTTTTGTGTGTTGTAAGTTACTTTTCACTCTCTTTTGCCGCAAAAGGAAAGACTAAGTGTATTACTTTTTTTTTTTTTTTTTTTGATACTTGATAGGTAGCACAGTTCTGGCGGCCATCCTTCATCATAGAAAAAGCCCACAAATTTGGAACACCTGTCTTTTACTTCCAAAACCCCCCCCAAAGACTCAAAGATTTGAAGCACCTGGAAGGTGAGGGTGAGGAGCAAAGTTAAAAACAAGGGGATTATTTGAAAGTTTATTTTTGGGCTCCTTTTGTAGCCAGGTGACTATCCCTCTTTCTAGCCGAAGACTGGAGGCTTATTTTCT